ACGATTGGGCTTTGACGGGTTTTAATTTTTTCGGCCTTTTGGCATCCCGATGCTCCAAGACGGCCCAAGAGGCTTCCAATACCGCTCCAATATAGAGGAAGAGGCCTCCAAGAGGGCCCCAAGACGGCCCGCGAGGGCCCCAAGACGGTGCTTGAGGCGCCCAAGACGGCCCGAGAGGGCCCCAAGAGCCCCAAGAGAGGCCCAAGAAGGGGAACGCGACCCAACAGCAGAGCGTTCCCCCCAAAAGGCCCACAGGAGGCCGCAAGAGGACCCCAAAAGCTTCCCGAGGGCCCAAAAGGCCTCTAGGAGACGTCCAAGAGGTTTTAAAATAGCCCAAGAGTGCCCTCGATGCGTCAAAACTGCTTCCAGGAGGCCCCCGGGAGGCTTCCGGATTGCCTCAATCTGGCCGCAGGTGGCTTCAAATCGGGCCTCCACGCAGCCAAGACGGCCAATGACGGCTTCAGATTGCAGAACCGATGCCCCCAAGGGACCCTCAGACGCCCCCCCAAGAGGCACCCAAGAGGTGCCTCCAACAGCCAGTTGACGAAGCATGCGGAAAACCCCAGAAGCTCATCAGATGCCGTCGCGCGCCTGTGCTTGATAGCGTTGTCCAAGATCGTCGAGCGCCCCCCCTGCCTGGGGTAGAACCTGAGCGCGCGCGAAGCGCGCGATGGTTCTATATATATATATATACATATATATATATATATACGTATATACATATATATATATATATATAATATTATATATATATGTATATATATATATATACATATCCCCTTATATTTTTACAGCCCAGGGGTGCTCCGGTATCGCCCCAAGTCGATCCTAGAGACCCACAAAGAGCCTCCAGACGGCCTGGACGGCCCCAAGATTACCCAAGGAAACCCCAAATGAGCCAGAAAGAGGCCCAACAGGCCCTCACAAGGCCCCGAAGCGATCAGAGCGGTGACCAGAGAGGCCAAAGAAAGACACAAGACAGCACAAGAGCGCTCCAAGCAGGACCCAGATGGACTCTAGAGCTCCCAAGATGGCCCAGGAGTCCCTCAACACGACTCCCAGAACGCAAACATCGCTTCATTCCTTTCGGGCAACGTGCCTTTTCAACACATTCGCTGTTCGGGTCTTAGCAGCGTCCAAAACAGCCAAGAAGGCCTCCAGTATCGCACCAAGACGGCCCAAGAGACCTCCAAGAGAGCCTCTAGACGGCCTGGACGTCCCCAAGACTGCCCAAGGAAACCCCAAATTAACCAAAAAAAGGCCCAACAGGCCTTCACAAGGCCTCCAAGAGAAGCCCAAGAAGGCTATGTGAGGCCCCCCAAAAGGCCATGGGAGGCCAACAGAAGGAGCCCCCGTAAGGTCCCTAGAGGGCCCAAGCTCCCCAACACGGCCCAGGATGGCTCCAAGACGGCTCGAGACGGCCCCATGCCGGCCGGCCCACCAGGGCTCCAAGGCCACACGGCGTTTTCCACCAAACTGACCCGAATCCTGGGCTCGCAACCACAAATCTCGGAAATCCGTAAGGGCTTCGCCCCCATGCCGCCGGCACCCCTCTCTTAGAATGGGACTTGCCAGAGCTGTGTTGGGATGTCTGGACGCTGACGTGAAGCAATGTCGAGACTTGACGCGAGGGCCAATCTTATAGTACGAGGGTTTATGGCTTCGGTGGCGCGGATACTAAGCGATTCATAATTTATTATGGCTTCGGGGACGCGAAAATCGCATCATGTACGAGGGTTTGTGGCCTCGGGGGCGCAAATATTGTGTAATCGACAATGCTGTATGGCTTGTGGGGCGCACATCTTGTGTAATTTATTATGGCCTCGGGGACGCGAATATTGTACAGGTTTGTGGCCTTGGGGACGCAAGCACAGTGTAACTTACGATGTTTTATGGCCCTGGGGACGCGAATATTGCATAATAGTTGAAGGTTTATGGTTTCGGGGGCGCGAATATTCCGTAATTTACGAGGGTCCACGGCTCCGGGGGCGCGAATATTGTATAGTCTGATACGGCTTGTGACTTCGGGGACGCGAATACATGGTAATTTACAATGGATTATGGTTTCGGGGACGCGAACATTGTGTGATGTACGACGGGGTATTGCCTCGGTGTCGCGAATATGGTGTAATTTGCGAGGGATTATGGCCTCGGGGACGCTGGTATCATGTAATGCGCCGTGTCCCACGACCCCCCGGGAATTCGGGCAACGCGGTTCGGGGGTGCTAACCAGGATGCTTTTCGGTTCCCCCCCCTACGCGCGCTCAGCAACAATTAACAGTAAGGAAGCAGAAAGCAGGACTGTAAGTAACAGTGGAAACTGGAAACTGCAACTGGCACGGGAGCTGCAAGCCTAATCTTCGCAGCTTGATGGCCCCGCAAGGGGGCCGGCGGATCTGTTGCGAACCCGGGATTGGGTGCATTCCCTAAGAATTACTTGCGTTCGCGTGCCCCGTTGCGACCCGTTGCAACCCGCTGTAACATTCTTCGCCGTCCCCCGACGGCGCCCTCCTCCTCATCCTCCTCCTCATTCTGCCGCTCCACCACTCGTTCTCCCCCACATCCGCTTCCTTTCCTCGCTCTCCGAGATTCCCTCCCTCCTATCCTTCGCCCTCCACCCGGCGCCTTTCGGGAGCCCCCAGAGGCTTGGGAAGGGTCAGTGACCGCCCGAACTTTCGAAGCTTTCTGAGAACCACCGCAGGGAAGGGGCCAAATTTCCAAGGCCATTAGGGATGGCGCGAACGACCAACATATGCAAGGCCTCAAGGACCAGGGTGCATGGCGCCAAGCGCCAATGCAGTCTTATATATATAGCAAAAACGCACTCCTGCAAAAACGCATAGAGTTGTTTTGGGGGGTAGCTCCTCATCCTCCTCCTCCTCCGTTGCCTCTCTTATTCCGCCTTCCCTTCTCCTCCTCCACCCTCCCTCCCTCCTCCTCCCTCCATCCTCCTCCTTCTCCTCCTCCTCCTCCTCAGAGGAGGAGGAGGAGGAGGAGGAGGAGGAGAAGGACGGGGCGGAGGAGGGAGGGGAATGGAGGAGCAGTGGAATGGAGGAGGAGTGGAATGGAGGAGGAGTGGATGGAGGCATTGAGCAACCGAGAAACAAAAACACAGGTAACAAACCCAACACACGAAGAAGCCAAATACCGACGGCTGAAAAACAAAAAAAAACAGACAAACAAACAAAACAAACCGAGATCAATACTTACTCCACCGTTCCCCTGCTCCGCCGCCCCCTCTCTCCTCGTTCCACCCACCCTCTCCTCCCGTCCCCCCACCTTTCTCTCTTCCTCCTCGTTCTCCCCGTCCCTCCGCCTCCTCCTCCTCCTCCTCGCGCCGCACGTCTCGCTTCTCCCCCTCAGAGGGGGAGGGGGGGGAGGAGGCAGGATGGAGGAGGGAGTTGGGCGCAGGAGGGAGGAGGAAAGGCGAGGAGGAGTAGGGGGCAGGCGAGGAGGGGGGAGGACGTGGAGGAGAGGGCGGAGGAGGAGGAGGAGGAGAGAGGCGTGCGGCGCCAGAAGGAGGAGGAGGCGGAGGGAGGGGAAGAAGGAGGAGGAGGAGGAGGAGTGAAAGGTGGGGGGGACCGGAGGAAAGGATGGGTGGAACGATGAGAAAGGGGGCGGTGGAGCAGAGGAACGGTGGAGTAAGTATTGAAATATTTGCTTGTTTGTTTTGTTTGGATGTTCCGTTTGTTTGTTTGTGTTGTTCGGCCGTCGGTCTTTGTTTGGTTCGGTTTTGTTTGGTTTTCTTAATTTTTTGTTTTCAACGCCTCCATTCACTCACTCCTCCTCCATTCCGCTCCTTCCTCCGCCCCGTCGATCTCGTCCTCCGAGGTGGAACAGGAGGAGTTCTGTTTCTCCCGAGGAGGAGGAGGAAGAGGAGGAAAGGAGTGAGGAAGAGGAGTGGGAAGAATGGTCTCCAGGCTCATCCAGTCTGGGGCTCCTCGCCCCTCACCCCTCAGCGTTCACTCATCCTTCTCCTCTTCCTCCTCCTTCTTCCTCCTCCCTCCTTGCCCTGCTCCAGGGGCGTGGAGCAGGAGGAGGAGAAGGACGGGGGGGAAAGAGTGGAATAGAGAAATGGAGTGGGATATTTGTGGAACAGATGAGGGGTGGAAAGAGGAAACGCCGCGAATAGCGTCGATGCTCTAGAACAGCAAATCGATGTTAGCAGTGGTGGGGATACATATATATATACATACATACACACATACATACATATATCTAGATCTTAAGAATTGATGTTTACCGAAACTGGAACATATACATTACAGGTGGCGAGCTGTTCTTCAATCCCAGGATTGTTCGAGTGTCTGGGTCGACGTCGGGGTGGCGTGGTGAATATGTTTGTTCCACTTCCCGGGGGAACAGCGGAGCATGTATTTTCCTGGATCCCCTATACACCAGGATCCGCTTTCTTGTGCGAGTTTTAGAGCAGGGCCGGAAAAAGCGTCGGCGTATAGAGCTCGTGTCCACAATGTTGCCCATCGGAATCGTAAATTATTAGGGTGGGCCGATGCCCAATCTGATTATTTTGAGCGCCTCCTTGCTTCCTGATATACTAGCTTCGTCCGACAAACCTTTACTTGAGTGGGGGTAGGGCAGGAGGGCTGGTTGCATTGCGTCGCCCACGTCATGGATGCGAGTTAGGTTTCCTCGGCCCAGTCTCCTTCGCCTGTCCATCCTCTTCCCTCCATCCCTCCCCTTCCTCTCTCGCCCCTCGTCCTCTTTCTAAATGAGACAAAACGCCACAAACTTGTGGCGCTCCGCGCGGATTTCTTGGATCTGCGCTGGGCCCCCCTGGCGGCGCCTCCGGCGCCGCCCCGTGCGCGCTCCGCGCGCCAGGGAGGGTGGTCCAGCGCAGATCCAGGAAATCCGCGCGGCCCGGCAGCAGGTTGTGTTTATGCCGCTTGTTGCCCTTCTACCTCCCACGCCCGTCAGAGGGGGAGGAGCAGGCTCTGGAGGGGGAGGGAGGAGGCGAAGCGGGAAGCGGGGGGCGAGGGCAGGTCAGACAACACCCAGTCTCTCTGCCTCGGCTGCTCGGCGATCGGAAGAATCGTCCCCTCTCCACACGCCGCAGCGCGTGGTGGGGACCCCGAAGCCTGCTGCGCGGGCAGGCAAGTAATTAGCAGTTTCTGTTGGCACCCGGCAGCACACTGGCAGCATCGGCCCAAGGACGAGCAGCACGTGGAGTCAGGCAGCGGGTGATGAGCTTGTTCTCTAGGTGCCGCCGTGCCAGCGCATGTCAAGCAGCTTGTCTCGCTTGGCAGCGTTGCCGACGGCCCTTGTTGCTTTGATATGCCAGCTAGCGGCAGCTACGGAATGGTTGGCCCCCTGCGCCGTCCACAGCATTTGTACAGTATTCTGTGAGCACGGCTCCAGGTGCGCCCGACCCAGCGCTGCTCGAGTATGGCACGATCGTTTTCTCTAGGTCGAGGTTAATGGCCGCCAGGTGGTAGGGACTTGTGTGGCAGACACGGGCCATGCCATGTGAGTCAGAAGCGCGCCATCATTTCGACTGGAGAAAGATTGGTTCGTGCTTCCCTCAGTCCGCGGCGGTCTTGGATCACCCCCGCACTCCATCCCTCGTTCTTGCCCACCTGCCGCCGATGGATGGGGAGCATAAGGAGAGCATGCTTCGGGTGTTGCCAGAGGTACCCTGGCCCAGGCGCTCCCAGGATCCCCAAGGAGGCCCCAACGGCCCTCCAGAGCAACTCCTCCCATAAGGCCTCAGAGGGCCCCGAGGCATAAAATCAAGCGGAAAGCTAGGGATCTTTTTACGTCGCAGCGTTTGCTGAGCGCATTGCGCACGGCACATGCAGCGCTCAAGGCGGTCTGGAGGCGGAAAGCCAAAGTAAACCGGCGCAGGAGGAGGGGAACACGCGAACAGCCGCCGCGAGGGAGGAGGGGGGAGGGGAGGACCACCATGGCGAGGTGGCGTCGCCGTGGAGCGGCCAGAGGCGGCCCCTGGGTGTTGCCGAAAAGCTGGGGGCACGGTGGGCCGGAGGTGGGAGG